TCTTTTAGCCAAGCTTTACAAATACGGTGTCCACGGGGACTTGCTCAACTGGTGTAGGCATTATTTGACAGAACGTCAGTAGCGTGTAGTAGTAAAAGGAGAGGCTTCCGATTGGTTAACGGTAACCTCTGGTGTCCCTCAGGGTTCTTTGTTGGGACCATTATTCTTCACAATATACATCAAGGATTAACCAGGGGTAATTAGTAAGAACAGCTCAATTGCATTATATGCTGATAGTAGCAAAATGTATAGGGTTATTAATACTCAAGAAGATCTGTCCTCTTTTCAAAGTGACATGGATAAAATATCAGATTGGTGTGAGATGAACAAGATGAAAATTAATACTAAGAAATGCAAGATCATGCGAATAACCAGGAAAAAGGCACCCTTAGTTGGGGAGTATAAAATTGAGGGTCAACCTTTGGAATGTGTTAATGTTTATAAAGATTTAGGATTGTTTACTGCTAGTGGTCTCTCATGGAACCAGCATATAGATAGAATAACTGCTGAGGCCAATAGGGTTTTAGGGTTGGTAAAAAGGACTTGTAGGGACTTAAATGACGTTGAAAGCATGAGAACACTTGACTGTAGTAATGTGAGACCCTTATTGGGATATTCATGTGAAACTTGGAACCCTTATACTAAATATAACATTGACAAATTTGAGGCTGTTCAGTGAAGAGCTACCAGATGGATCACTACGTTTGGTGATAAATATGGTACTAGACTATCTAAATTGAAATTGTTGCTATTGTCTGATAGGAGGTTCATTAATGATGTTACGTTTTTTTTTAATGTAATTAATGGCCATTATGACATAGACATTTCCAATAAGCTCATATTTTGTAAGGACAGAAGATGATGGCTTATAATTTGAGGAAAAATGATAAACAGGACCTTGTCCCAAATTTTAGCAGAACTAACGGTCTCAAATATAGCTTTTTTTAGCCGTATCGTTTGTGAATGGAATAGCTTATCTAATCACATTAGAGAATCAGATAGTATTGAAACTTTTAAAAAGAATGTGTTATTAAGGATAAAAAAATCCTTAATAAAACTTTCTTTTAAAAAGAAAGTTTTATTAAGGATAAGGATAAGGATAGTTAGGGTATCTATGTTTATATTTCTATATAGTTTTGCTATAAAAAATTTCTTTTAATTAGAGGGGACATCCCTTGTATAGTGCGTCAGCGCTTTTGGTTGTCTCCTTCTCCACAATTTTTCCTTTTATGGTTTTAATTAACCTTAATTGTAAGCCCTGAGTTTCAAATCCTCGGCCATGCTTGTAATATAGCCAACTGGTTTGCATTCGGCCAGTTGGGATTCTTAACAACGTTATTTTCAATTTGAATTATCTGTTAAAGTTGTTTCGTGGAAAACCTGTAAACTAGCTTCTAGCTAAGTGTTTCTCCAAGTTAAACTGTTTATTATTATTATTATTAATTAATATTAATTTTTTGTGAATTCTTGTGGAGTGAATTTGTAATAAATAAATAAATGAAAAAATAAATGGAATGTGGATTAAGAACACCCAGGCTGAGATTTGGTAAAAAAGGAGTATATATATATATATGAACACATTCAGCCTAAAAATTAAAAATTGTTCTTATATATAAAAACTCTTCCCTTTTCAGTTTAATACAGTGAACAGTGTCTGTAGCTTTACTGTATTGCACTAAGATCTCTGTTTAAATTCTAGTAGTCTCACTTGCTGTGTATAGCAAATGTACAACAACTGTATTTGGAATTAAAGTCTTATAATTACACGAAAAATATGCAATAAAATGAAGATCACCATTTGTCAAAGTGTCAGTCACATCCTTTATTCTCAACAGACATGGCAATGATAAGAAGAAAACATAAAAACATGCAATATGTATGCAGTTCTATCGTCTTTGTTTTAATTTGATACACAAAGTACCTTTGCAGATCAATCTTGCACATCAGAGTTCCGCAGGTCACTTATTCTCCAATCTGCATCTTTTCTCTTTTTCTGTATCTTTTCTCTTTCTCTTTTTCTAATGTTGTGTGTCTCAAGTTTAATTTGGTCTCAAAGTTATGTATTTCATCATATTTAGTAAATCCCTTACATTTTTTTAGAAATAATAAATTAAGAACACTTGAGAACACTTTCAGGCTGATTTCATCTAGAATAAACCGCCTCCCGGTTAGCTCAATTGGTTGAGCGCCGGACACCTTGTGCGGGAGATCGAGGGTTCAAGCCCCGGCCGGACCAACACTCAAGGTCTTAAAATAACTGAGGAGAATGTGCTACCTTTCTATAACATCAAGAAATGGATAGACATTCTAGTCTTCTCGGATAAGGACGAATAAACCGTAGGTCCCGTCTCCTGCATCTATTAATTAGTTAATTTGGTTAGGCAGGGGACGTTAAAGAACCCACTCACGAGATTACTGTGATGTGGTCTGGCCTGTTTACTGGGAATTGGGGGGAGGGGGCATCTTCAAATAAGTTTCCTTCGATTGTTTGTAAACTGCTGATGCAGTCCGGCCAAAGTCCCCCGAAAAGTGTTGTGATGCGCATTTGATCATATCCACATGTTAATTTGCGCAATATAAATATTAAATTATTATTATTATTATTATTATTATTATTATTATTATTATTATTATTATTATTACCCTCCCACGAGGAGAATTGTCTTTCCCTCCCATCCAATTCTCTTCGAACTCTTCTCAATCTTACACTTTGGGTACCTGTAAAAATGGTCCTCAAAGTCTGAGCTGTAATGCAATTTTTAGCAAGGTTTCTTGTTCCAATGGATCTGAACTTAAGAAGAAGTAATCTCTCAATTCGTCAGAAATATTTGAAATTCCAACGTGTTATTTCATTTCCGCTTCCTGTGAATGAAATTTTCGCGGGAAGCCAGACTCAAGGGAAGTCACGCTTTCACGAGCCATATTAGGCAAGCTATTGTTCTGAGGTTCCGCCGGTCGTCCTGCCCTGTGATTGGTTGTTGGCCGTAAGCCGTGCCTGTATACAAACGGGAGCAGAGGATAATCCAATCAGCCTGAGCCCCGAAAATGGGTGTTCTTGTATGTGGGTTTTTACTGTATATCATAACAATTTTGACTCAAAGCACGGTGCGACCAGTACAGTGCTTTATGAAATTTCAGAGAAGAGGAAAAAGAAAATGAAGCGATTGATCCTTTTATCGATCTTTCTCTTACTCCATGATGAGCTGGTGTATCCACCAAAGATGTATTTTCTCGCACGAACAATGGTCACTGTCGGTCCTTTGCTGTCACACAATGAGTGGAAGGTAGTAGCAGCCCAACTATCCACTGATGCTCGCTAACAGCGCTTCAAGGAAGCGGAGTGGCTCTACATAACAGGGCTTAACCAATTGATTCAGGGAGCGGATGGAAAAGCGATAGCCACCTTAATTTTCACCAGTGCATACAAACCTTTTGAGAGGAACTTGTTTTGAAATCTTTTACTACTTCTGTGACTTTTTATGCTGTTTATTCTGAATCTACATTACATAACACGCCTTTAAAATGATGAGGAGTCTACAAAGGAAACGTGCAAATATTAGTCATTTTAATTTACTGAATTAGGGTTTTTTAGTTTCTATTATTATATGGCTGTGGCTCACAAGGACTGGGAACTACCGAATTCACGAATTTAATTGGCTTGAATCAATATTGAAAGCGGTCCAGATTTTCCCATCTAGACCGACATCTAGACCGGTCGAGAAAAAAAAGGTACAAAGTATATAAAAAATTGTCATATAAGACACAGCCACATAAAAAGCATCTTATCAACCGAGCTAGGTCGACCTATATGGGAGAATCTTGACCTCGGTCGCTGGTACAGACCTCACTGCGTTCGGTCTGTACTGGCGACCTCGGTCAAGATTCTCCCATACAGACCGCCCGATAGTTTAATAAGAACTAATTAAAACCTGTTGAATTTTTTTGTGACACGTGATTCAACCTTAACTTTTTAAAAAGTTTCATAAAACACTTCAACTTCACCAGGTCTAAAATTGTAACCTCCTGCCAGGAATGATTTGGCGAAGGAGCTGCCATAATTGTAGCCAGTTGGTGGACTGTAGGTGTATCCAAGTTGTGATTCAGATTTAGTGTTGGAGGCGTGGTAGGGAATGTAAATGTCGTGTGCTCCACCAAATGAGGGTCCACGATGTGAACACCCATAGGTAGTATATGAAGAATATGAATCATGTTGTCCAGGTTGTGAAAGTTTCACTGGTCCCCAGCCAGGTTTATTAACCAATGAGAACAGAAAGGCTGTCGATCTACACAGCCATGAACAACCTGATGCTAGCTAGGGAAAGACAACCACAGATTAATCATTTTAACCCGGAGCACAGTACAACCAGTACAATACGCAAAAAGATTGTACAGATAAAGTAGTTACGCCTGTCAATAGAAATTTGTTTGGAAAAGTAGCGTTCTATTTTCTCATTCCTGTTTCTTTATGAAATCGAGTCCACAATGACATATTTTCTTTACTAAGTAGCCGTTCGAGGCGGCGCTGGAAGGCTTTTTCTGGATCAAATCCAATTGCGTTGTTGTGTGATAGAGGGAGTTCTTGCATAATTGAAGGTTGCGGCTATTACTGATCGAGTCCCTAAAGTTTGTTTTAAAAATTAATTATCCCTTTGATAATATGCATGCTAGCTGGAAATGTTTCAGTTC